CCAGAAAGCAGGATCTAAGCTTGACTTTTCCAGGAGACCCACTGAGAAGCAGCTCACCTCTTTTAAACCCAACCTCTGAAGTCACAGCACTGTTTCTGTCTGTTGGACACAGTCAGCAAGGCCAGAGCAAATCCGGGGGACGGGGACAACACACCAGCTCTCGGTGCAAGCAGGGTCTTGGCCACTTCCCCATGAAGAGCACTGCTCCCAGCCTTGGCTTCCAGGTCTCACAAAATACCCCTGCTGTTGACTCGTACCCCATGTAACAAAGCCAAATCTATATATTCAGCAATAGAGGCATTTTTAACAATAGCCAAAATAACTCCGACCACATTTGGAGCTTAGTAAAACCTCCTCACCAGCAGTGCCCATCTGTCCAGTGCCAGAATCACAAAGGAACCCAGGCAGCTCTCCCTTCTGATGTCACAGCAGGTGCGGAGCACACAGATGCTTCTTTACACCTGCGGCTCACTGACTGCTAACAGGGGCACCAGCATCTGTAGACTTGGAACCAGCACACACCTGTAGAGTTGCATTAGTGTTTGCAAAGTGCTTTCACACAAAATGCCAGCACAGGCCTCCTGCCCAGCAGCTTCCCTTTTTAAAAGTGAAGCTTGAGACAAGGATTTGAATGCATAGAGCATATGATGGTTTAAACCTAAAGTGTCCCCCAAAAGTCTCTGGGTTCAGAGGTGGGGCTTTGAGAAGGGGACTGGATCATGGGTCACTTTTCTGTCACGAGCGCCTTCCTGAACGTGCCGTGGGAGGCAGGCCCAGTGCAGGAGGGGATCACAGCTGCTCCATCTGGGAAGGCACACATCTCACTCTGGCTCCTCCCTGCCTCTCTGCTCCCAGCCTCCATGAGGGGAACAGCTGTGCTCCACCATCAGCTGACCATGGACCAAAACCCCAGAATCTGTGATCCAAAATAAACCATGCCTCCCCTGAGCTGGGGCGTCAGGTGTCTTCCCCTGAAGCAAAAAGGGGAGCAGTGCAGAGCACTGGGATGAGATTCCAGGGGGCGAAGGTGGGAGTCGGACAGGAAACAGAAGACCACAGCAGCACCGTGATGAGCAGTCACCCCTTGGGAAGAGGGTCCGCCTCCAGCCCGCTAGCATTGCTCATGGATGGGGCCCTAAGCCCTTGGTACTACCGGAACTCCAGCCTGCCCCACATATACCAGGGGGACTCAAAGCTCCAGCTGCCGCTTGAACTTCTTTAATTTATTACAGTAAAGACACACTGTCGTGAGCCGCCCCAAATACTCCCCTCACTTTGCGCACACTCATCCCGCCACTCTTGCCGCTTCTGCAGCAGCTCTGGAGTCCACTTTCAGGAGTATCTTTAGTCGTGCTCTTGTGGTTGCCTCACTGTCCTGGGTCCACTCAAAACAATCGTGGCTCCAGGCCACCTCTGCTTGGGCAGAGCCAGGGGTCTCATGGCACTGGGCCAGTGAGTAAAGTGGGTAAGGACAGCCCGCAATGCTTTTATCTAATACAAATCACCATGGACATCTAGAATCAGCTAAGGACATCGGGCAGCCCCAGAGGGACACAGAAAGGGACTGCCGGAACTGCTCAAAAGGTGGCAAGAGTACCGGGTGAGTGTGTTTGAAGCCTGGGGAGTATTTTGAGATTAAGGGCAATGCGTCTTTTACTGTAATTTTAAAAATTTAAACACCCACTGCATTTTTATCACTCTGGACACACAAAGCTGCCCCAGGGCCAGGGGTCACCGAGGGAGGGAGCATGGAGAGCTGTGTGTGCAGGCACTTCGGGCAACTGAGGCTCCAGTGGCTCTCCCACACCAGTGCCTGCTGGGCTGGGCTGGAAGAGCTGGGGTTTTATCTCTATGAATGCCCACAACCTCTTTGTTGATAATGTTGCTCAGAGAGCTTAGGCAATTTGCCCAGCAACACACAGCAGAACACAGGTCGGCCACCGAACACCTATGGGGGCCAATGACTAGCCTGGAGCCTCCTGCAGCTGTCTGCTCCACAATCAGCAACAAAAGTCCCCACCACCCCTGGCTCTCCGCCACCATGCCCCTTTTGATCCCGCAATGAGCTCTGGGCCTCGCAAACCAGGTTCAGGGAGCAGCTTCACTGGAAACAAAACGTTCATGTGCTTTTGACTCCATGAATTGCAGGCTGCAGGCCATAAGTCAAAACACTTGTGGCTTAGCTGTGCTCCTGGCGGTGCCCTTCCGACCCCCAGTCTCGTGGAAACCACCTGACTCTCCCCTCCTGGCAGAACCACACTGCCCTGGGCAGCGGGAAGGTGAAGGTGCACGGGTTCTGACCTACGACCTGCGGCCTCGTTCTGTGGGACCTCACAACGGCTGTCTCGGTCCACACCCAGGGCGGGCGGACAGTGCATGAGGGGCAGCTGGAAGGACCCATGCTTCCAGCAGGGGTGAGGATTGGATCACATCCACTAGAAAGCGGACTCACATCAGTCAGACCAGAGCACCGAGCCTCGCTCCCAGGTGTGCCAAGGCCTCCCTGGGAGGGGCGGACTCAGAGGCTGGGCGCCCCCACTTCAGGGGCAGAAGCTGCCGCTGCACCACGGGTGTCAGGTGTCGCCGGGTGGGTGTGGACCAAGCGGTCGCAGCCTGCTGCCACTGAGCGGGAGTGGGGGTCAGCCAGCTTCTGTCCTTTTGCTTCCCAGACACCACAGGGCATGGCTGCTCCCTCCATGAATCCCCACCCAATGGCCTGCATCCCAGGTTCTAGGCCCTGCGCCTGTGAGCCAAGAAGCCACTCCTCTGTGTAAGGTATCGGCACCCACTCCATTAAAGCAGCAGCACAGCTTTTGCAGGCGGGCCAGGGGACAGGAGGCACTGGCAGGACTGAGCCCCAGCCTGAGCAGTGGACAGGACATCCCGGAGACAGTGAGTGCAGCCACCAGGCTAGAGTTGCATATAGGAGGAGCAGGGGTGCAGATTCGGCACTCGGCAGTCATGGTGACTGGCTGGCCTTTGGTAGTGGAGGAAATGACAGCAGCTCGTACCACAGGAGCTGCACTGCTCCTTCTCACCCCGGCCGCAGTGCCCTCCTGGCCAGGCGGCTTTGTCATGACTGCCGGTCCTGGCATGGCAGGAGTTTTAGCAGCATCCCTGGCCTCCATCCCTGGGGCCAAGAGAAACCCTCCCAGTCTCAACAGACAAAATACCTCCTGTCATTGCTAACTGCCACTGCTCTACATGTGTTAGGTTGTTGGTTCTCACTCGACTGTCAGAAATTACTATTTAGCAGCTCTTTTTTACAGCCTTGGAAACTGAGGCCCGAAGCACTTCTGCCATGTGCCAAGGCCCATAGCTTTATAAGACGCAGCCAAGACCGCGCCAGACTGACTCAGGCCACATCCTCGCTCACCACACTGCCCAGCATGCATCGAGATGTAAAGTTTCAACATTCACAGAATGCAGCAGGCCTGGGGCTTGTGGTCACACGGAAATTTACATGAGGCACTCTAACAGCCCAGCATCTACTCCTAACAATAATGGTGGTGAAGGCTTAAACCAGAGACGAGGAAGTATGGAAACATAATTTCTTCCTTCAGTGATATTAATCTTTTAAGGATACTGTGAGGGTCTGATGAATTTCAGTTATCTATTTCTTTCATTATCAGGAACAACTGGCCAAAAACAGCTGACACCACTTCCTTCCTCCAGATCCTCTCTGGCTTCTCCCACCCACCTGCCCTGAGCGGCTGCCAGGCTGTGGGGCACCGTCAGTCAGGACACCCAAGTCCTTGTTCAATAGGCCCTTCTCCTGCGAGCTGGCCCTTCTCTGGAGCCGCACAGAATCATGTTAGCAGGTGAACCTCAGACCCCCATATCCAGTGTGACTGTGGAGGGCGCGATGACTCAGGCAGCAGAGCCCCCTCGCACATTCTGTGCTTGTGACCAGGCTTGGGTGCCCAGGGCCAGAGGGGAGAAGCCAAGGCACCAGCAACCTCTCCGCTCACCCCAGGGCCTCCTGGTCAACAGATTCCAGACCTCCGTCTTTGGACAGAAATAGAGCAGAGGGCAAAATGAAATCACAAGTGGGAAAAGTTCAACCATCGTACTGGGTGTGTGTCACCTAGCACAGGCTTCCACGTCTCCGCCTTTCGTCCACAGGTGTGGCTGCCCCAGGGTCTGGGGACACCGCGGGGGGCCACCCCAGGTCGCGGAGGCAGATCGGGGCGCGGAGGCAGTTAGGTCCACGTCCGCCACTCACCCTGCGCGTGTCAGAAGGACGGATACCCGCTGCTGAAGCAAAGGATCCCGCCCAGGTCAGCAGGCCAAGCGCTGGAGGCCGGCCTGGCTTCTCGAGTGTGCTCTGCTGCCCCCTGCTGGTCAAGAGCCTCGGTCCGTGCCGGCTTCCATTCTGCACAGAGGGAGGCGGGAAATGCGGCTTCTGCGGCCTCGGCAAAACAGTGTGGGAAAGGAGTTGGGAATGGACGCGCTGGGCGTCGTCAGGCAGACTTCGAGGCGTCTGCGCCTGGATATCCTGCGCGTTCCCAGGGCTGAGGCGTCGTGTTGGGGCCGCCTGGTCTGAGACCACACTTACCCGGCGGGAGGAATTGGGTCCTGTCCCATCCTGTCCCGCGAGGTTCAGGCGTGGATGCTGTCCCTTTGACCTTTGACCGCACACCGCCGCGCGCACCCCGAGGTCCCTTTGACCCACTCCCCGCCCTGTACCCCAAGGTCCCGTGACCCCGCACCGACCGCACCCAAGGTCCCCATGATCTCTCACCACCTGCAACCCAAGGTCCCCGTGTCGCCTCAGTGCCTGCACCCCGAGATCCCCATAACCTCACATGGTCCCGCACCCCAAGTTCCCTGTGACACCGCATCCCGGGGTCACCGCACTCAGAGGCTGCCCTCCCATCCGGATTTCGGTCACACAGCGCCCCCACCTCTGCTGCCACCCACTGAGGAGAGAGCTTCTGGGGAGACCGGCCACTGGGGTCCCTGCTCTGAATCGCCCCCCGTGGAAGCGAGCAATGAAGCAATGTCACCATGCCGCTCCCTGCCCTGCCCTGCCGGGTGGTCCAGATGGCCGGGAGGCCTTCCTCCTGTTGGCAGAGTAACAGCTTCTGGGAAGACCTTCCTGCCCCCTCTCCCAGCGATTAATGAGTCCAGTGATCTGGTTCTCTCCTCGCCTCTCACGACCCCGCCCGCATCCAGCCTCAAAGAGCCGTCTCCCGACCCACCAGATTCACTACAGAAGGACAGAGGAAAGGTTTGGTTACCTCAGGTCCCCATGACATGAGGCAGCTGCAACGTCCAGTGGGCTCGGAATGCAACAAGAGGCAATACAACAAAGGGCTGGGTGAGCGGGATGACAGCCAAGATCTCCACGCACCAGTATCTGTGGGTCAGGACCGGCGCCTGACCTCCCCAAACCCTATTTTACTGTATGTAAAACAAAGATGATAAGCTTTTTTAAAGGCTTGCTGTGATGATTCAATCACTAAGAGAGCTCTCCTAACCTAAGAAATCCTTAAAAATTTTGCTAGTATGGTCATATTGATATTGATATTAATATTGGTTTTATTATAGATATATTAATATTATAAAGAATCAAAGCAGTACTCCTATTTGTGTCTTTGAGGGTACAGCCTGCTCTCTATGATAGGGATGCTCCACCTCACCACTACGGACCTTTGGAGACAGATGGCCCTTTTTGTGGGGGGCTGTTCTGTGTGTTGTAGGATGCTTAGCAGCATCCCTGGCCTCTACCGGCTAGAAGCCATGGCACCTTCCCACCAGTTGTGACAAGCAAAACTCTCCTGACATTGCCAGTGTCATGGAGGGAAGGGAGTCCTCCCTGGCTGAGAACCCTTCTCTACCTTACCTTATGCCAGCCATTCAACTTCTTAACTTCAATTCTAATAGCAAAATGGGAAGGACATCTACTCATCATTCAAAGGGTTGCTAAAGGATAAATACTTTCAGTATTGGCTCATTCCCCTCTCACCAATATTAGAGGCTGTACACATTTCTAGATGAAGAAACTGAGAAACTCAAGCCCACCTGCTTGCAGAAGTGATGAGATTGAAGACCGAGGGCACAAAATCTACCTGCAAGAAGAGAGGACAGGGGCTCATCAGCAGGTCCTAGGGAAACGGTCACAGGAAACTGAAGAACGGAGAGCATGAACCACAGAGCCTGCAGTCAGCCAGGGTGCCCTGACCCAGGTGCACAGGCTCCACCAAGGCTCAGAGAAACAAGAGACTAACTCTGAGGGTTCACGGCATTGTTTCCATGTGAAACTGCAGAATCCAATCTTCACCCCCTGGAAAGCACCCTCTCTCCAGGTCTATAAAGGGTAAGGTGGCCAGCCAGCAAGAAATGGGCAGGAACTGAGCAGAAACAGCAAATGAATGCCACTGATTCTGAAAGGGCTCTGAGTCTGAGCCAGGCACTCAGGCTCTTGTGCTCGGGGAGAATTTCTTCCCAAAATCTATCCTGTAGGAATAAAGGAGGTTGCAAGCACTAGCCTATTCATGAGGACGGTTGTATTTGTGATTCACTGAGCAGGAAAGAGGGAAGACAAGATGACCAGTGTGGCTAAGGAGGAGAAAGTCCTACTGCCTGGGCTCCAGGGAGCAAGCAATGAAAATAGGGATGCTTTCTGCTTACTCAGCATTGGGAGCATGAAGCCAGGCCACCCCGTGACTGCCTGGGAATCAGGATTCAAAAACCCATCCTGGGGCTTAGCTCTACACCCATCAGCAGGGCAATACAAATGGGTCATTTCTCCCCCTCAGAGCTGCAGTTTCTCTAACTACTGGCTCCAGATAATAGCACCTGCCTTCAGTAGCTGGTTGTGAGGTGACCAAGAGAGAACCATAGCTTTAACAATTATTGTCTTGAAGCCTCAGCCCCTTCCTCTATCACTAATGTGATAAGACTGATTCTCGAGGTTACCTGGCATGCAGGTTACCGACCTACAGCACGATTGACTGGTCAACCATCCTTCCCGCTGAGCACTCATACTCACAGATTGTCCTTCAATGTCCCTCAATTCTGAGATGGTCCCTTTATCCTACTGGCTCATTAGAAAGCTGCCTCCCCAGAAGAGTCACTTCAGTACAGTTCTGAACCAAAAGAAGAAATAAAATCTGATTTTAGCTCAACACACAACTCTCATGCCTTGAGAAGCCCAGTGCTGCCTGGTTCTGGTCTCATCCCCCTTTCTCCCTCTTGGACTAAGACAGCACCAGAGAAGTTCCAACCAGCCTTGCCAAGATGTGCCTCAGGGCCACAGAAGAGCCATCTCCTAAGGGCTCCAGGGGCTGGATCCACATGGATTCCCAATGGCTATATAGGAGACACAGTGCGGGGGGCTGAGCACATCCCCCACCCCTCAGTGCAGCGAGGCCGCAAGGGACCTTTCTCCAGATGTTTCCCATCCTCCAGGTATAACTCACTGAAACACTGCTAAGCAGGCATGGCCACAACAGCTCTGCACACTGTGTCACCTGTTAACTCTGTTTTCACTCCAGAAGCACTGAAGTGCATTCTCCTAACAGCAAACCATCTCGGCCCACAACACCTACACTTGAGTCAAGCACAGAACCTCCACACTGCATGGCTCAACTAGGCAGGAATACTCCCAGCCCTGGGAGAGCAGGGTCTCTCTGCTGAGCACTTGAAAGTACCCAAAAATTACAATGGACTGTTATAGTTAGGAAAAGTATATTTGCATAAAGCACAGGCCGTGGAATGTGATGGTATCTTTTTGATTTTTAAAATGTACAAAGGTTGTGTGATCCTCCAGTAGTTGCAGGGAATATATCCAGCTTGTTGGGTGTAACACATTTCTGTTCATCCAAAGGGGAACTGGAGGCTGGTCCAAGCCCCTGGATCACACTGTGCCCTTCCAGCTACCTAGCTGGAGTCTTCTGCTATTCTCCTCCTGGCTTTCCAAGAAAGAGGTTTCTTATGTAAAAAATAAAATAAAAAATGGAAATAGAAATAAAGGTAAATTGAAAACTGAAAAAAAACCCCACTTGTATAAGGGTTTATGTCTTTATTCAGAAACTGTAAATATGCTTAATGACGATTAGTTTCTTTCCTGCCTCTTAGTTTCTCAAAAATATTTGCTTCATAAGTGGGAAATTATTGTTTGAAGTTATCTACAGTTTTCACAAAAACTACTAAGCCAGTTTAAATGTCTTCCTGTTTCTTCCTTCCCATTTTTTAATATCTGGTGCCGGATTAGACCTTTAGTCCCTGATTCAGAACTAATTCTTAGGTCTTTCATTTCTCAAGTCGATAGAAGGAAAGGAGTGGTTACCCAGTGAGAACGACGCAGGTTCCACTCATCCATCCCAAACTCAGGCCAGTTGTTGGACCCTTTGAAACCAAGCTGCTGCATCTATCTTGATGCCAGTGCCAGAAAAAGTCATCTTTTTAGCACCGCTAAAAATGGAGCTCCCCAAAAGGAGACACATATTAGCCTGAGAACAGGGCAGGACAAAGTTGTAGCCAAGGGCAGCGAAGAGGGTAGACCTAACAGACCTGATACAAAAGCCAAGTTTCCTCAATCTTGCATGGTGTCTCCCAGAGGTGATGCCTCTAAGGTCATCAGTGTATTTTCTTAAGTAAGAGGTTATCGGGAAGGAACAAAAACCTGAGTATGGAGCCTTGCGTAGCAAGAGGAACTTGCAGACATTGCTAAGGTAAGGGCCTGAGTTAGGCAGGCTACCCTGCATTATCCAGGGGGCCCCATTGTAATCATGAAGGAAGGAGAGTCAGAGATTTGAACATTGTTGACTCTGAATATGTGGCTGACCTCTTGAAGTTCCAAAGAACAAGAAAGTGGATTCCACCTCAGAGTCTCTACAAGGAACCCAGCCATCAACACCTTGCCTTCAGCTCTATATGACTTATTTTGGGTTCTGGTCTCCAAAGTTGTGAGAGAATAAGTGTTGTTTTGAATTCCTGTCATTTGTGGTAATGTGTCACAACAATGATGGGAAGCAAATAAACTGTCATGTGAAAGGCACGTGCCAAGTGTCCAAGCCAGAGAGTGTATGCATTTACCAGCAGCCCCAAGTTCTGCTTCCTAGAAGAAAGGACTGAAAAGGTCTTCACATTCTGGTCTCTCTCCATATTAGTTACCTGTTGCTGCACGACAGTTTACCCCAAAACACAACTGCTTAAATAGTGCACACTTAGCATCCCAGAGTCCCTGTGGACCAAGAATCCAGGTGCTCTTATGCAGGTAAAATGACTCTGCTCCTAATGAGGCTGCAGTGAGGGTATCAGCTGACATAATCATCTTGACAGTCAGCTGGGAAGAGTCCACTTCTGTGCTCATTCAGTAATTAGCAGGACTCAGTTCCTCCTAGGCGCCTGGACTGAAGGTGTCATTTCCTTGCTGCCTATTCACAGAGGCTACTCCCAGACTCTCTGTCACCCAGGCTTTCCAGTATGGCACCCTACTTCACCAACAAGCAAGAGTGGGAATCTGCTAGCAAAACAGAAGTCCCACAGGGCATGGTGGCACACATCAGTAATCCCAGCACTTGGGAGGCTGAGGCAGGAGGATCGCTGTGAGTTCGAGACAAGCCTGGGCTACATAGTGAGTTCCAGGTCAGTCTCAATTACATAGTGAGACCCTGTCTCAAAAAACAAAAAACAAAACAAACAAACAAAAACAGAATTCCTGGTCCTTTATGAGCTAATCAAGGAAGTGACATCTGTAACCTTGGTTGTATAATCTTCTTAGAAGTATGTCAGCAGGGCCAGTGACACTCAAAGGGAGGGACCACACCAAGACACAAATAATCCCAAACAATCTGGGAATCGGCATACCACATTCACGTTCCAGGGGAGCCAACCAGACTCCACTTCCCAGCTCCCATGGGCAGCCATGTCTCTAGGTTCCATCTGAAAGGAGGTGACACCACCCGAGTCACTTCCCCTCCACTGGCAGCATGCAGAGAGGTAACCTGGGAAGGCATATGTTCAAAATGGCTAGTCTAGGAGGCAAAGAAACTTGAGGGGATGAATCAGAACAGAGCAGGAGGAGCAGACAACTGCTCATAGGAACATCATTTTGGACTTTAAATTTACAAAAACAAGATGCTTTCTATCCTGTTTGAGCCATTATAAATTTGAAGACTCTTTCTGCTGGATTACTATTACCTAATTCATATCCCCAGAAGACTAAGGAGTAGAAAGGGAAACAAGTGGTGAGGTAGAGGTACTCTGTGGACCGGCAGAAAGGAACCATGTGGTCAGAGCCTATGTGGCAGGCAGCAATCACCTCATAACACACACAACCCACACAAAGGCCTTATCCAAACCAGGTAAAATTTATCCTCCCTGTCTAAGCAAATCATAGAATTCTCCATGTCAGTGCACTTTTCTTGGAGAATGAAGATGCCCAGAGTTTACATCCAATTTAGAATATGAAAGAAAAAAGCTCGATGTGGAGAAAAGTAGGACTCTAAAGTCAGAGAGAAGGAAGAAACTAATATCCATGTCTTTTAAAGACCTAGAAAGTCACTGAAATTACAGACAAAGCTCCAGAAAAGCTAACAGCCATCACAGTGGGGTTTTAATCAAACTCAACTAAACCTTCCAGAAAAAACATAGTCTTAAAGGGCACCTGGGCTTCTTGTGGTAGAGCAGAGGAACAAAGATAAGCATCCAGGTGAATTCTAGGAAAATGTTCCTACATATCAATCTGCAATTTTAAAATAACCAGCATGGCCACAGGATGTGGGCAGGTGAACAATTCTGAACAGCGTAAAACTTCACCATGTCACTTGTCCACTTACAATTTCTAGGAAGTAAAGGTATTTGTGTTGTGCCACAGTCTCACCTACATTGTCACCTCATGACTCTAGTTCATCCTCACAATGAAACTGACCAAAAACAAAATCACTGATGCCCAAGAAACCATCGGATCCAGTGCAGGACTGAGGGCGGCTCTGCAAGGTAAGCTTCAGATGTTTCCAAGCAGAGATGAGGCAGGGTGATTGCGCAGGCCTGCAGGGAAGGATGTGGAAGGGAATCAGCTGATCACAGAAGTGCTCATTGCTCCATGAAATGATTTTGTCTGCATTCACACTTGTGTTAATCATGTTTGTTATGAGAAAGAGCTAATAAAAGACAGGGAGAGTTGCCTCTCTTGATGCAGGCAGCTCGCTGCAAGCCAAGCTTATCCTGACTCCAGAGCTAGTGCCTCCCAAAAGCCTAATGAGGAGCCATACTCTGGTTTTGCCAATGTACCTGCCTATTCTTTCCATGTATTCTTTGTCTTACCCCAAAACTATACATCAGGTCAGATCAGATTAGATGAATCCAGAGATAGACAGACAGGCAGACTGACTGACTCACCAACTGGCTTCCCCCACGCCTTAGTGGGAAGTGTGTGGACAGCTGGGGAGAGAACAGAGCAAGGGGCCTCACCAATGCAGCTAAAAATTACAGGAACTTGGCTTGGAGCATTTAAAGCCACTTTCACACAAGCAACACCCAGCCTGCTAATAGGGCCTGCACCTCTCCTACTACTGCTTGCCAAAAAGAAAACACAGTCTCCTCTGCCAACAACCTTCTCTGCTTCTCAGCTACACCCGCAGCCCATTAAACTAACTGAAAGTGAGCAAGGCTCCATTTGTCTTCAGGCTGCCTGATAAAACCTCGGTGTTCCATCACGGCTACTTCAGTCTGTAACTTACGTCCTCCCTCTTTTCTTTTTTCTTAATGTCAGAGTCCAGTTTTATTAGCCTATTAGTACAAACATCCTTTATCTTAAGATGCCCCAGCTCTTGGGAAAGATGACTTTTGGAGTGAATGATGAAGCACTTTTGAAGATACCGTGGCCATCAGATGTCCTTTGACCATTACAGTTCACTGTGGCTTCTTCAGTGAGCTGCTTCGATTAAGTCTCCCAAACTTGAGGCACCCTTTCTCCCTCCTGGCATCCAATGTGTCTCTCTGGAGAGCCTCAGGTACCAAAGGCCAAAGCTCTGTGCTATGCTCCTGACCTGGCTACAAGAACTTCCCCACACGTAGGGCTACCACAAGCTCTGGACCTCGGGATATCTTCTGAGCCTCTGATCTGCTGTTTGGTACACCGTGATGTAAACGAAACCCAGCCAAGTCTGGAACTCTGGTTCTGCTTTGTTTTTGTTAATCCCAAACCCTGGCCAGCCTCATGGCCTAGCCTAGCTCTGTAGCTCTGGTTCCTAAACATGGACAGGCTGCATACACACATAGTCTTTTGTTTGCTCTCTAACTGAAAAGAGCCACACTGAATAATATTGACCATTTTCGGAACATGATGCTAGCCCTCCATTTTATTAAACTTGTCACCCCTAGTTGGACTTATCATCTTTTATCACAACAAGGTGCTGCAGACTGGCTCACTGGATTCTCCAAACCTCCCCTTGCCTGGGGCTGGGGAGATAAAGGATTCAGTCCCCAACCCATTCGCAACTTGAGTTTTCTATTGGTCCAGTTTTTCCCAAGTAAACATACTGCTATGAGCTTGAAAGCAGAAAAGATCATCAAGAAACTAAGTCCCACAGCAGCACTGACCTCTAAAATAGGAGACATTTGGTTTTCCCATAGGCATTGTCTCAAGAGTCCTGGTGTCCAGTGCCCAGCTGGCTGGAAGCAAAGATAACAGAAAGGTCTGTGTGTGTTGTACACAGCCTTGGAAACTTGTTCACTATGCCATCAGTCTCTGCCAAAAACTTCACAGTGTTTTCTTGGTGAGGTCGGTTTTGTGAGACCAGAACTTTTGAAGCTCAGCACATTCTAGCACTGGTAAGTCCCGCAATGGTCTTTCCATCATCGCTGAAGGCATCACCTCTCCAGGGAAGTTAGACACAGAGAGAAGAGTCAAATGCACACTAGAGAAAAGAGTGCTCTTCACTGATCCCAGAATCATCTGAATCCATCTTTTTGAAGTGCAGCTCTGTGAGAGAAACAAAGGTGGTACTCACTTTATATCATGTTTGTTCATTTGAAAATATTTAGTGGGCAGCTTTTCTAGGGGCAAGGGACATAATCTGAACTCTTGAAAAGTTCACAATCCAGTGAAAGAGGCTTAACAAGAAAACAGAAGGTGTTGGTGAGCACAGGATGGTTCATGGAGCTTCCCCCAGTCTAGTCTTGGGGTACAAAACCAGTTCTGCTGCGGGAGGAAACCCTGAGGCTAAGCAGTGGTAACTGAACAAAGCACAGGAGGGTAGAAAAATAGTTCTAGGCAACAGAATGATGTGTGCAAAGGTCCTGAGGTAAGAAGACACTTGAGAGAATGACTTGCATGGTCTTCAACTCAAACCGTCCTGAGCATGAGGTGCGAGCTACACTAAATCAAAACCAAAGGCTTAAGCAGGTTTCAACTTATAGAGTTTTTGGCATACTTGGTTTTAACTTGATTGATTTTTCATTTGAATGAAGAATATTCTGGCAGAGTGAATTCTGGTATAAAAGAAGAGCAAATGGGAGACAAGTGTTAGGATGGAGAACACCCAACAGCAGACTGGGAATACGGACTCCAGGAGGAATTGCAGGAGCTTGTGAGGAGGCGGGCTGGATAGTCACGAAGTCTGCCCTTCACGGGCCACGCTGCTGGGAGGAGCTAAGGCCAGAGGGTGCACAGCTGGGAAGTAACCAGCCCTCACGGCTTCATAGTCCCAGCAGGCCTAGAAGAGCCATGCAGCCTGCAGGACTCCCTTCACAGAATTCCTCCACTGCATGACAGAGGGCACGCAGGGACAGCCGAAGCCTGACACTGGCCCCTGGGCCTCGCTCAGCACCCAGGCTCCGGCTCACTGCACCTCCAGAGCCTCTCCGGCCCAACGGCCGCACGTGCAAAGTAGCCGCATTGGGAGCTCCAAGAAAGGAAAAGCAGCACATGCTGCTGAGAGGGAGTATTTATGCTGCATCAGCTCTCCATTTGCCATGGAGATAAATGCCCTGCTATGGCTCGTGCGAAGACAGAGTGTACAGCACTAGTTTGAAAGTGCTGTCAAATTAAAAGCTGTCTTCCAAAGACCCCATTCCAGAAAGCCAAAGCCAAGTCAAACAGGCAATTACTTCCAAGATGAATACCTCTCCTGGCAGGCGTCCCACTGCCCAGCTGTAGGTTTCAGTTCCTTGTCTCAATTCATTAATTGACGTTTAAATCTGAACTTTATTGTTTCTTGGATAAAGAAACACCTCCAAAATTTGAAATAAAAAATTAAAACTCCCTTCACATACAGAATAGAAGCACAACTTTGGGTCTGAGAAGTTCCAAAATCGAAAGAGTATTTCTTTTGACCCTTGGCAGTTCCAGGCAGCAGGGCAGACTCCGATTTCTCGCTCAACTGTCTTCTAGGGAAGCCGCCTTGGGCTTGAATTCCAGTCTGTCACCCACTAACTGTGAGCTCTCGGAAACACTCCTTCTCCCGAGTGTCAGTTTCCCTCTCTTGATTGAAAATGCTCATAATGCCTTCCTCTTGGACTGGCATGAGGGTCACCTGAAGAAAGCAGGTGGTGAGAGGCACAGCCACAGAGCTCCACACACAGAGGCCCATAGTTCAGCGGATTGATTTTTTCTCTGCAGACGGCAAACCCGGGTGACAAAGGGGGATGCAGGATGAGACCGGAAGGTCTTGGTTCTCACTGAGCAGAGTCCCTTTGGCCCACCAGCCTTTGAAGGTTCCCCTGGTGTTATTCAAGGAAAGGAAAATAAAAGGAAAGTTCAAGAGCAAATCCATCAACAGACAGCTGTCAT